CACCCGTGGTTTGGGTGGTCGTTTTGAGGAAGTTTCCACCGTTCCACACTCACAGATCCCCCGGAGTTAAAAGTAGTCACCCAAAAGCACTGCAGGTGACAGCTGGGAAGATATCCGAGCCATTAACTCTATTCTTTCAATGATATTTGGAAAAACTACAAGTTCCTAACGTGTGAAAGTAGAGTAAAATTACCTGATTTTAACCAGTGGTAGCCGTTTGGAGCCCGCCAACTATCGTCCAGTGCTTTTGCTCGTAATGCTCTCAAAGTTGAGGGAGTCGATCATAGTTGAGAAGCCAATGCACAAGTTCTGGATATTTAACATCATAGCAATAGAGAAGGCGGCTTCCATCAACACTGATCATGTCCAACAAACCTTGCAATAGTGCGTTGTGGTTGAATTTAAACAGTTGATAGTGAGACCAGAATCGATGACATCTACCTATACTTTTCTAATGCTTTCCACCACCTAGATCACCGCATCCAAGGAAGAAAGCCCCTTTACTTCATGCCAGATTTTGGAGAATAGTGAGGCTAACAGTCTGGTGAATATTGCACCTCCATGCTTAGACGGCTTCAGAAAAGTTCGCTTTGTTTTTGGTATCGAACCTCAAGGCAAACTTCCGCTTCACGTGATAGATCCAGGGTAGGCAGATGAGTTACAAGTCCACACCAGCAAATGGGGAGGTCAAACAGAACTGCGAATGACAATGCTTGCTCCGTACATCCAAGCGTCTTCATAGGTTAGCAATCGGAGTATCATCCGCTTAGCAAAATGAATTGCTGATACCACGCTTTACATGAAGGATGGACCAAAGTAGCTGGAAGTGCTTGCGAGTATTATTACAGAGAGCAATGGCTTCAATTTCCGTAGCAAGCTGAGACCAACAAGCTTTCCGGGCGATGCGAACGCATCGCTTGAACTGTCGACTGACAGAACGGCGCACTTCATTATGAGCGGACTCCAATGGAATAATTTTGCGGGAATCAAATTGGTTCGAGCTTTATAGGGTGCTGAGTAAGATCACATACTAAATTTCTGAAAGTTGTCATAGTCTTCTGCATAAATGTCCAGTGTACATCAATGTCTTGCGGTTGGTCACAACTGAGCGCACCGGTCAGCCTAGCTTAATAGCTCAGCTGAACCGAGGAAGTTGATAGTCCCTTTGTAGAAACCTTAGAGTACTTCGTTTTCGGAGACCCGTCGAAAATTATGCCGAGTTTCGCATAGACAACACCATGGTCTAACTCAGGACATATGGACCAGTTTGATCTGTCATCCTTTACAATACCCCTTCATCTGAAATTGCTTGCGAGGTGATCAATCGGGGACCATGATTGAGTCGGTGAAGGTGAGCGCCGCGTACCAGAACTTATCCTTGTATACCCCAAGCTGGTGCTCGATAAATACAAATAATTGCTTTGCACAGCTGGAAAAGCCTCTCCCCATTATCTGAGCTGCCGTCATGGTGACCACCGAGATAACTTTCGCATGATAGTTGACGAGCGACCGTTCGTTGAAGTTTCCAATAAGGACAATAATATTGGATTTGCAAGCTTTTCTCAACAGTTGGTTAACTTTAAGGTAGAAGTCGTCCTTAATCCAGTCACGAAGATCACAAACAATTTGTTTCTCCTCGCGACATCTATTGGTCCTGCGCAGTCGGCTTTTAATCGGGAACCAGTCCAACCGTGCGGTGTCGTCTTGGGTACTTAATGCTACAACAACGCGGCTGCTTCTGTGTCACCAGATAGAGGTAGGATAAATATGGCTACTTGAAAGAGTGATGTCACCTCAATTACAGTACCGAGATATTGCAGGCGGGATACGTAAAGATGCAAACATCTTTGACGAGGAATTCGAAGGCATGCGCAGTACCAGCCTGCTGCCCGATCGGCATAAGTGTACGTACATTGAAACATGCCAGAAGGAACGAGGTTCGATGCCAAAGGTGGGCCACTAGGCTTGCTCTGTGGACGAGGACGAAATCATCGGGACTAGAATCATGGAAACAACAGTCGGCTGGTAACGGACAACTGTGATACACAACAAAAGAACAAGCAGCGTGTGAAGAAAGTGTGTGAGCAGCGAAAGGAAAAGCTGTTGAGTTGAGTAGAGCAAATGAGCGATCACTAGTTTTGTGAGTGGATGTGATACAAACAGGTTGCCTAAGTCGATCTAGGAAATTTTCTTAGGGGACACCACACCGAGCCTACAGATGAATAGCCTACCCACCAAACATAGGGCCGAATTCAGGGAATCGCATCCATTGGTAGCCGAGGACTGATTGCCCGGTTCACATGCCTTTCATTTGTTGAGCCACCAAAAGGTCTAAGCCTCTTCAAGATGTCAACACATACTTGCTGGGGTGCAATTCTCCACCAAGGTGAGACAAGGAGCAGGGACGGTATTTAGGGGCGAGTCACATCTGACACTTCGCAGTATTGTTATACTGACCTTTGTGGCTTTTATGGGGAAAACGCTTGCCAGGCGAAAACCCACCACATCCTGGAACAATGCCGGGTCGCCTAAATGGGTATGCTATATTAATTGTGTACTCGGAATGTCTATCCTAACATACTTCACCGCTACAAGTAAAGAGCTTTAAATGATTTAAACGGTACTTTACACAAATCTTAGTAGCTAGTACAGTCTAACTTGTGCTATTATTGGTTGACTGGATACTGAATGTGTAGGACACCACCCTGCAAGAGAACGCTACCTTTCTCACGTCTTTACACGGCGCGATAGCTGTATCATACCACGTCTAACTGCTCAGTCGCCCCAGTACTGTGATGCAACCTACGCTGCTGTGGTAGTAGCGTGTTACGGCAATGCAAATTATTAACGAATGTCGAAAGCGGATTGCGAAGAAATTCTTGCAGGATATTCGTCGTAAGAACACTCATTCCGACATCTGCTGCACATCCGGAAGTGATGGATGTCCATTTTCTCCCTTCGGAAATGGCCAGGGTACATATTCTGATTGTCCTCTGTGTGGTTTGAATCCGCGACCTAACTCTCCAGGATCCGGGATTAAGGCTACCAGGTCATGGGAATTGAGCAGTAACCGCCAGGCCTCAGCAACTCACTGTGATACGGTGCTCATGCTCATCATTCGCCATCGTGCACATTTCAACCGTGCAGGAGTCAGGCTGTGAATGTTATTTACCCCTGGTGAAACTAGCAACCGCGACCCATTCTTGAGGGTCTACGATAGAAAGGACAGCGATTTTCATGAGTAAGTTGTAAGTTCTGGTATAACACGTACCAGACTAATGGTGGCTCTGCATTTTATCGCATGCTTTTGTTAGCAGGCGATGCGTGGCCCATCCTAATTGTTAGTCCGTAGTGTAGGCAGTCGTTAGTGAGCGGTCACGTAATAAAAAAGATCTCCTCGGAAGTCATTTGTTATTTTTCCCTCCCTAAACGGTTCCGTCGAGTTCCGTCGAGTTTGGCTGATGTGACTCTGTTATTCAGGCTTTTCGAGTTCCTTCCATGTTGTGACGCCGAAAGATCACGGCCACTGTTTTAAGACTAATCGTTGAGAAGATTAGAACAATCATTCGTAACATGTGTTCGCGTTGAGGGCTCTCTAACCAGTAAATTGTGCAGGGAAGCATAGAACAAACGGGATTTGTTTCAGTGTACCTTCCACACGGTTGTGGCAGCATCTAAATGACAATAGGGGTGCAACTGTGCATTTGTGATTAACGTAAAACAAGTATTTTGTTATTGCTCACGCCTAAACGCGGTTCCAATGTTTTCTTAATGGAACTATCCGTGTTTGCATGTGTGGTATTTAAATGAGTAAAGTTCATATGCCCAATCCAACCCCACTTTCTCAATTTTCTCGTCGCAGATTTCATCCAAGGCTGTTCACTGCACCGAAGACGATATTGATACTGCGCTATGCATTATCAACAGTCTGACATGTTTCTTCGCTATGTCTCCTACGCAGTCCACAGCAGCATTCAAGGTTAGTCACTAGCTTGCGCACCAGAAAGACGACTGTAAAGCAGCACATGATATGTGTTGATGTATACTTGTATTCTTACTTTTAGCTTCGACGACCGCTGATTGAAAGGATCCTTAATGAACTCAGGCTGCTAGCAAACGTACCTTGTGTTCGTCCGCACGTAATCCGTTGCGTCACGGAATTAGAGCATGTCGGTAAGCGACCAGCTTAGTAGTAATGTATTTTTGATGAGCACTCATGTCTAGCCGACTACCACATATGCTGCACCCTGCTGTTCAGAGAATTTAGGTTTGTGGGTACCACAAGTTTATCATAGGAATAGCGAATGTAGGTCAACTGTCAAATATCTCGATGTCCACCATGTGCCCATTTACCTACTACGCTATACTCGGCACTACATTCTGAAGTATAAACGGACAAATTCGCAGAGGTTGGGCAGATCACACCTTATGCACTTGAACCTGGACAACCTCTGAACTGAGCCTTACACGTCATTCCGTAACCTTGTTTCACTTCAAAATGTTTGGAGGAAGGTGGAAACAGAATTCTTTGCATGTAGGTACTGTACAGCCCGAACAATTTGCGCTTTGGTGTATCAAGTCAGCATAAGCTTTATGTACCCAAATGGGTGCATTTTCAGACTTTCATACTATCAACCGTAAATTTACTAAACCGACACCATCAAAAACGCTAAATTTGCAAACAGGTAGAAAAATTATAACGGTGAGGTCATAAATGAATCAAACAACCATTACATAATGCTGCACTATATCCTCGGGATTTGCTTTCATTCAAATGCGTAAAGTTCCAGTAAAAGGTTTCTTCACAACTAGTTAAAGCTGCCGTAAACTTTTGTTAGAGAACACGGTTGCAAAGAGATCGCTTCTCGATAAATCACATCAGGCAAATACGTATACAACGTTGACGGGGTAAGTGACGGGCTAATGAAAGGGTTAAACAGTGACATCAACGTTAGAGTCACAGACAACAAACGTGTCATCCATGTACGTGCAGTCGGAATGCAATGACTCAATAACAGCTTGCGTAGGATTACGTTCAATTTTATCGAGAAAGACGTCTGTGAGAAGAGGTCACAAGGGCGAATCCATAGCGACTCCGTCGATCTGCTGATAATTGACTCTGTCAAACAAGAACTGCCTCGGCTTTATGGTTTGTCCAAAGTGCACAAGCTACAAGTCCCATTACGTCGTTTAATTGATATGTCGACTTTTGCATTCCATTCAGTCGCAAAATGGATTGTCGAATTACTGGAACCAATTCGTAAACTGCTATCCATACATTCTCTGAAAGACTCACCTGAAGTTGTTTTGGAAGACTTGAAGGTAGGCGGCAAGTTGCTGCTCTTGTTTGAAGTAGAGTCACTTTCACTAACGTCCCGTTACTTGCGACCGTCAACTTTATTTGCAGATACATAGTCAGTAACGAAATTAATGTTAATATTCTAGTGCCAAGACTAAAGTAACTAGTGTTGCGATGCACATTCAACGGGCGGTTCTTGTTTGATGGAGTCTATTATCGGCAGATCGACAGAGTTGCTATGGGTTCGCCCCTAGAACCATTCCTCTCATACGTCTTTCTCGAAAAATTTGAACCTATTCCTATGCAAGTTGTTATTGTGTCAATGGATTTCTACTGCAGGTACATGGATGATACGTTTGTTGTCTGTGACTCTAACGTCGATGACAATGGTTTAGTCGATCAACTCCACGGTGCACACCCATCACCGACGTTCAGTAAAGAAATCGAAAACGAAGGACAGTTGGCCTTCCTGAACGTACTAGTGAAGAGACGGGAAGACGGTTCTCTTGAGAGTAGCGTCTTCCGGAAGATTAACTGGGTAGAACAATTCATGCATTTTCTAAGTTTCGCGTCTTTGAGTTTTAAACATAACTTATTTCACTGCTTATATCACCGCGCCTTCAAAACCGGTAGCCCTGAGTCGCTAGAAAAGGAGGAGGAAAGGCCACTTTCAAACGGCTACCCTGCCTAATTTATCCAAAAGCACGCAACAATCCGTGAGCCTGTCAGCATAGTCACACAAAATGTATGTTTCTTACGGTTCCGATTAAGAATGACATAGATTTCTGCTTCTTGAGTAGAAGAATTTCCGCCGCATTGACCAAAACATATCCTGTAGCCAACCCGCACATTCTTTCGAAGACAACCCGTCTTATTGCAGAGCCTCTTAAGAAAAAACTACCGTTCAAGTTTACTAGTATGCGGTATATCAATTTGCTTGCACCCGTAGTGCAAAGTACTTCGGACATACGACCAGGCGTCTGTCGATAACGATAGATGAGCACGGTCCCCGGTCTCCGCCGAAAAGTAATGTCGGAAGGAACAATAGTTTCATCATCAAACAATTAGTTCAAAGCGGACAAAAGCATCTGACCAAAGATTATTTCCGCGCCTTCTGTAAAAAAGTAAATACACAAAAGCTATTAGAAAGACTCCCAAATGATAGCAGAAGACCTTGTGATAAAGTCAAAAGAGCAAAGATATTATAGTCAAGAAATTGTCGTTGCAAGCTATCACCTAATTTTGGCCGCAGCGAAAAATTTTTCCGCAGGGACACTAAGGACGACAAAGCGTCAAAGTAATAAAAAGCGTGAAGAATATTCTTTTCGATAATTCTCATCGGGCGTACGCAATTATGAATCAAAATATTGGAGGGAATAAAGCTCGTAGACGCTCGTACAAAAAGCAACCAGCTCATTAATCAGACAGTATGAAAACAAAATAAATGGTTTGATCAATCACTGTCGTATTAGGAAACACGTGATAAAGACAGGCCATATATCAAGTTCAAGACTAAGGTAATTTCAGTGTCTGTAGCAATGTGCGCTGTTTGCACAGCTCTGGTTTCAGAATCTTGATTGCAATGGCTTCGGAAATGGTCAACAGATGTTTCCTAAGCTGTTTTGGGTAGCTCTTACGTATGGTATAAACTACTTTAAACGACTGGTTCATCTGGGCTTGATGTCCAGTGTCAAGCAAGTCTTGTACAACGGAACTGTCGATGGGTTTTACGCCGCCTTTTCGTAATGACGTGGGACAATGTTCAGCGATCCTTCTGGACAAACACTTGGTCGTATGTCCAAGATACCTACACCACAGGTGAACAGGTATAAGACAAACGATTCGCACCGAACCGGGAGTTTATCCTTTAAACGCTGAAGAATCAATGGTCTTGTTTCGGCAAGTAGTTTTAGATTGGCAGCTGGAAATGTCTTGGCCCACTGTCATCGAGATTGTTCTATTCAACAGTTGGAACGCGACCTCACCTTTAAAGGGGGCTGTAAGAAATACATCCTTTTTGAACACTGTAGAGACACACTTGACAGTCTCAGACTGTTTGGAGTGCTGTTTGATGAAAGGCACAGGGAACCCAGTTTCTTGCAGCGTGTTAAAGATGAGCTTGGTTTCGCTTTCCAGCGTCTCTGGGTTGCAGATTGCTCTGGCACGATGATATCAGCACCGAACTAAATTTCACTTGTATCTCAGTGGTACAAAGCTAAGAAAGTGGTTGTTTGGACTTACCCACGTCGCTTTGCGAAAAACACTCATTTTGAGCGTC